TTCATAAAACTTTTATATTCAAGCAGCTTTTTAAATCTATGTATGTATGTACTTAAATTTTTATGAAAGTATTATTTCTTTTTTCTAATTTTCTATAAAACTATTTGCAGTCATTAACCAACAAATAAGTTGTCGAAATCAATAACTTAAGCAATGCTGCTATACGAAATAAAATTATTAGTGGCAAATCAAAATTTTGAAAAGTGCCGATTTTCACATTCGATAGTTGGACATGGTAGCGACGAGACGTACGAGCATTTTTTTCTTAAGAGCTGCATACTGATTTAAGAAATTTGTTATAGAAGCAAATTTATTTTCTATTTATTGTGCGTAATTTTATATGAATTTTTAGTTTTTCTTGAGAGCCTTTTCAAATAAAAAAAAATTTCGGAATATGTACATATGTACATACATACGCAGCCATATAACTTGATTTCAAGAGAAATTAATTTTCATTGGGCACGTTCAGAAGGCGCAACAGCTCAGTAACTGGTGCGATTGCACCTTCTGAACGCGTTGTTGCGTACTTCTGATCAACTGAATAGTTGCGTGTTAGATGATCGTAATATTTTTCTGATCATTTGAGACAACATGTTGGTGTGTACCTTTGAGAGTTGAATTTGACAGCTAATGTATGAAGTCGTTCAGAAGACGCATAAGATCACTGATTTTTTTTTAAATAAATGGCGAAAGAAAAACTTTATCCGATTTTTTTTAAATCGAAACTACATTTTTACATATGTACATATGTACATGCATACATAAATATATTTAATATGAAATTGAAATTTTCACATCAATTTGCGCTATCTTCAAACCCATGGTTTCAATTGTACGCATATCGTCGGGGTTTTCCCCACAACTTGGTTTTGCTGCAGTGAAGCGACAGAACAAGTGACGAGAAAAAATATATGCGGACACATATATGTATATATATCTATGCACATCCGTATCTATGCACATAGTATGTATCTATGCAAGAATGATAGAATACAAGATTGCGCCGATTGCAGCAGAATTCGTGAGAGTAATTTTAGCGTGACGTCATCGTAGAGTTGACAACTGAGAGCGGCGAGAATGAGGGCGACTAGTGTTGTGCTGAATTGTCCCCAATACTCGGTACCCAATACTTAAAAAAGATTTCGGTACCCTATACTTCCTTTTCGGTATCCGATACCGATTATTTACATTAAACCCTCGCCATTATATGCATTTCAGGTTTAGAAAAAACTTTCATTACTAATTTATATGATATCAGCTAAAACACTTGAACTTATCGCCACAGAAAAATATTATTTTATCAGTTTTAACCTTAGTCGATCCAAGGTTCAAGAAAAATACTTTGACGGATGAAGAAGCCTTTCAGGGGAGAGATTCTGTAGCCAGTAAGCGACAAGTTTCGGATCGATATCGCACTTGTTGACTTACAAATATTTGATATCAAACGTCGACAAAACCGATACCGATTCGAAAATTGTCGTTAACTGGTTACAGAATCTGTCCCAGGCCTACAAAAACGATATCGTCCGATTCAGCTGGAACAAAAATGCTTCAAAAAGTAAGGGTTTCTCTGTATTATGGCATCGAACCGACATATATACATCTTTCATTTGAATCAGTAAAAAGCTCTATTGGCTCTTACATTCGGGTTTTGTTAGGCGTTTTTCCATATTTTTGGCCTATGTGTGCTTTTTTTCGAAACCTAAATGTTTCGGTACCGAGTATCGAGAGTATTGGGTACTTAAAAGTATTGACTCAGCACATCACTACTGCTGTCTTCTCTACTATGACGTCACCAAAACAGCTGATTCTGTCAAAATCACTGAGAGCCGAGTAGCGGTATCGTCATCGGCGCCACCTCTGTATTCTCTCCACCGTGGTATCTATGCACATACGTATCTATGTATGCACATACATACATATGTACTTAGGTATGTATATTAGCATTTTAGATGAAAGTAAGTTTTGCTCGTCGCTCTCTTCATCGCTCCACTACATTCCTGTCCTTAATTTTATTCAGATACCACAAATGCACGATCCAGAAAATTCTTCTATCATTCTTGCCACAAACGTATGTTTTCTTCGAAAATACTCAAGTACTACCAGTAGAGTACTCTACTGTCAAATACCTTTTACTCGCAGTAGTTGCGGAAGGCAAAGTAAATACTCTGCGCGTCTTGCTATTGATCGGTAGTTTACGTACGCTTGCAGAAACTGGTTTATGCTTACTCACACTTGACCCGAACGATGAGAGTAAAGGAGGGAAAGTATTTGCGCGGCGATCGGATGTCTTGTTAGGCCCTTTAAATGGAATTGCGCAGGAGTTTAGTATCTATGCACATACGTATCTATGTATGCACATACGTATCTATGCACATATACATACATATGTACTTAGGTATGTATATTAGCATTTTAGTTGAAAGTACGTTTTGCTCGTCGCTCTCTTCATCGCTCCACTACAATCCTGTCCTTAATTTTATTCAGATACCACAAATGCACGATCCAGAAAATTCTTCTATCATTCTTGCCACAAATGTACGTTTTCTTCGAAAATACTCAAGTACTACTACTACTACGGTAGTTTCCCTGCAAAAATGAGACTAATCCGGGATGACTCCGGGAGCAATCGCAAAAGAGCATGCGACTAATACCACTTTTGATACTTTATATGGAATGAACTGATAGCTTTTGTTCGAGCATGTCCTATGAAGAGACTAATTGTTCACCTTTATACCCGAAAGGGTATAAAAAGCGACTAGTCACTTTTAAAAAATAAAAATAAAAATTTGCGCCAGCTGAGATTCGAACCGGGTTGCTCAGTTTTGTTAGGCGAATACTCTCTCTGTGTGCCAACGTCGCACATGAAATTTCATTGACTAAGTGCGTACATATCATTAAATCGTTAATAGTACCCGTTAGAGATGAGTTGGGGACTAATTGATCTCCAATTATACCCATAAGGGATGAGTCGAGACTAATTGACCTCCATTAGCACCCGTATGAGACTAGTTGCGACTAATTAAGGCCCAATTGTACCCGATTGAGTGTAATCTCGGAATACTCTCTTTAGAGATTAGTCGCACAATTTTTTGCAGGGTTACGTACGCTTGCACAAACTGGTTTATGCTTACTCACGCTTGACCCGAACGATGAGAGTAAAGGAGGGAAAGTATTTGCGCGGCGATCGGATGTCTTGTTAGGCCGTTTAAATGGAATTGCGCAGGAGTTTAGTAGCTACTGCTGCTATGTAGTAGTAAATGCAATCACTGCATGTAAATACATACATATAGCCGCAATTAATTTCATCTAAAGAAATCGTATCGTGCGGTTCCGCTAAAGCGTAGTGCATATTTTTGGGCGTATTAATAATAATGCGGCTGTTAAATATTTAACTACTTTCGCCAAAGTAGATGTCTAGACTAGTTTTTGCATATTCTACGTCTGGACAAGCAAGATTCTGAAATGGTAAAAGCGTGGTAAAAACAAAGATAGTTAAGCGGATGGGGTAAGTGACCGTAGTACTGTGGTTCAGAAATCAAACTGTGTTGGAGATGTGAACTTTTAATTTGCTCTTATAATGCTTTAATTTTAAATTTATGGAAGATATATTTTATATGTCGTCAGTAATATTGCAAAGTCTAGTCTAGTCTGTTGCCTGGACCGGAATGCATCTTTGAATCGTTATACTCCCATAAACTAATGGCAGAACTATCTGACTTTGGCTGATGAAGATGAGCGACAAGCAGAAGCGATAAGTTACAGGTGGCAGATCATTTAAGCACCAAAGGTAATAGTTGTCATAGAAGGTTTTGCAGTATCACCGTCTATATAGAAATAAATATCTACATACACATACATACATACATAGTAATAGCCTTTAATAAACATTGGGCCGTATGCATAAAACCTAAACAAATGCTTTTCTTAAAATTTCAGACGTTTTACTCGATTTGTTCAAATAAATATAAGTTTAAGGTTTAAGAAAGAGCAATTGCTTAGTTTTTATGCATACGGTTCATTTAGTCACTTTCGCTTCCTTCTTTACAGTGTAGTTCTTCATTTAGTTATCTATTAAAGTCGAGTTCCTAACCAAGCGTTTTTTTTTCATTTATGAATAAATACCTTTTTGATGATTGATTATGTTGTCTTATGTTTTCAGATGGCATATTTAAACCCTGCTCGTTCGTTGGGTCCATCTTTTGTTTTAAATAAATGGGATAATCACTGGGTTTACTGGTTCGGTCCGCTTGTCGGCGGTATTTCATCAGGTTTGCTTTATGAGTATGTCTTCAGTTTGCGTCGAAATTCACGAGCACATAAATCAAATGTAGATAGTGACTCATTCTCTATTCATTCCGAGGACGATATGAACTATGATGTGGATGTTGAAAAGCCCCACATGCCTGCTAAATATTCACATGGCACATACCTCCGCGGTCAAACAAATACCAAATCAACAATCGCAAGCAACGCTGGCACCATTCCTACTGGTGGTAACTACTGTCAGAACTTATATACAGCCCCTCCACTAAATAAACTCGACCAACCAGAACAATTATACGGAGGTACTCGCTCCCTATATTGCCGGTCACCTACGCTTACCCGCACCAATTTAAATCGCTCACAGTCAGTTTATGCAAAGAGTAACGCAGCAATAAATCGCGATATCGTTCCTCGTCCAGGTCCCTTAGTACCGGCTCAAAGCTTGTACGGCATGCGAGGGACACAAGCGCAAACACAGGCTCAATCATCTAATCTGCAAAATCAAAACGTACAGAATCAGTTGCAGCAGCGTTCAGAGAGCATTTACGGCATAAGGGGATCAACGAGACAATCACAGCAACAACAACAACATTCGCATCAGCTACACTCGCAACAACAACCTCATCACCAGTGATCGGACTTAATAAAAATTCTGTGTGTAGATTCTGGAAAAACTGTTGGTTGATTTAGAAAAAATGTGGTATATCTCAGGTTTTGGATCAAACTTTTTACAAAAATTTAAAAAAATTTTCAAGGTTTCACCTTAACTGAAAACTTTTTAATTCGAATCTTTAGAAAAAACTTTTAACTCGGATTTTGCCTATTTTGACAATCCTCAAGTAAAAGTAAACAACGCGTTAAAAACTTTAGATGCACTGTAATGTGCTAATTTTCACAAAAATCGCCGATTTTTTACATTTTCTTTATTAATTCTTTTTATTAATCATATATTTTGCAATTTAACACAATAAAATCACGTTTCCCGACGAAAAATTTAATATTGAGAAAATTCACTGTTTCATGGTTTCTATTCTCCTCCCATTCGACTTTGTTTACTTTTAATTGAGAAATCTCATCGCCGCCGGGAAATCTTTTATACTATCATTCTTGTTATTAGGGACACGAATTTCGATACGATATGAAACCATATCGATATTTTTGCCATTCGATACCGATAATTTTTACTCGAAAGATTTCAAACGTTATTTTTTGGAATCGAGTACCAGAACCCTTGTATCGTATCGAATCGTAAATGTACATTACAAAGTTAATGAAAACGTCAAAATTGAAAACTCTGAGAATTGGGCAAGACTATTTGTATAAAACCTTTTGTAGTAATATTTGAAATATTGAAAGTTAATTTTCCAAATTCCAAAATGTAAAAATTTGTCCTTACTAAAATTTCTATTGAAAGTTTTGTAGTTAATATTGTTTTTAAACATTCCATATCTTGCAACTCTATGTCGTACTATAACCCTACTTACTTTGGAATTTATATGTAAAGCAATATTGATATATTTTGAGCTTTAAAGCGCAGAAATGTCAATTATCTTAGGTTGGTATGTGGCGCGCCTTCAGTGATGTACTTATTAAAGTGCAAAGTGTTAATTCTTTAATAGAAAATGACTCCAATATTCAGATTTAATTTTTTCTGTTTTGTATCGATATTTGGAATATCGAGTCTTTTGATTACGATATTTTTAAAACCCGATAATTTTACATCGATACTGCAAATGAGTACTATTTCGATAGTTTCGGTTCGATATCGTTTTCCTACTTGTTATCACATAGTGTTTAGTGTTGGACAATTTTTGCTCTTCAAATTAACAAAATAAAGAAAATCATGTGGTGCTAAATTATAACTACTCAAAAATGCGAATATGTGGTAGATTTCAGACCTTGTGTGGTAGATGTGGTGGATGCTCCAAAAAGTGGTAGATCTACCACAATGTGGTAGAAGTCCGATCACTGCTCATCACCACCATCAACAGCAGCAACACCATCAGCAACAGCAGCAACTTCATCAACATCAACCTACTCCTCATCGACGGCAGCCCACTAGTGAGGAAGGCCAACAAGGTTTTCAGTCCGTATACGGAATTCGTCAAAATCCTAATCCACACGATGGTAATCTCAAATATGATCGTCGACCAGAATCGGCATACGGCATGACAATGCATCGTAATCGTGGCCAATCGGCGCAGTCGGATGACAGCTCCTACGGATCCTACCACCGATCAGCAGTCACACCTCCTGCCCGTAACCAAACCGGTGGCGAACCGATACTTATGTACGCACCACCACCACCAATTCCATCAAATTATTCCCAAGTTGGTGCGCCACCCATGCGCACGCAGTCAGAGCGCAAAGTAACTGCACCAGTTGTGGTGTCACAGCCGCCACAGATCACAACCGGTATGGTCACATACTCGACGAGTTCGAATCAATCCCTGCTATCAGCAACCCCGGCCCAACAGACATCACAACAGCAGTCACAGCAACAGCAGCAGCAGCAACAATCGCAACAACAACAACAGATTTTAGTACAACAACATCAAACATCTCAACAGCCACACTATGGCATGTTACCGATGCAAAGCAATTGAAGGTGGCGCTGATGGGGCCCGTGAATACCGAGTGATTGTCTGAACGGAAGTTTATAAACCAAAAAACGCTTTCCGAACATTAAAGTAAATCAAAACGTCTTCGATATCCAATATGAATATTGAATTGAGAACCAACCCATAAACAACCTTAGTTTTCCAACGTTCATAGTATATTGGAAATACACTCGAGATGGGTTCGAAAAAAAAAATGGAACCATAGTATCCAGAGAGAAAATGAAATCCAGCTCATTCTCGAAGGGAAATATAAGAAAATCACTCTCCCACATTAAAATTCCAATTCGGTAGTGGGCTGGATTTCGAATTCATAACGAAAGAAAAATACATTGGTTAACGAGGGATCCGTTTTGCTGGAGAATGGCCTAGTTCTCGAACCGAATACTAACCTATTTCACATTCGTTATCGAAGGTGAGACTCGAAAAAAGATTGGGTTTCCAATCGTTTTCGAATTGTTAACCATGCCGAATGTTTATTGGGCTTTTATGTACATAAATTGTAAAGGGAAAATTAGCAAGGCAAAGAATTATGTATGCATTCGACATAACGCATCATTTCCTGAACTGATCTAGATTTGATTACAAAGGCAACGAACTGATGATATACATATACACAAAAAAGCCAATACGTACGTACTTGAGCTTAGTATAAAAATTTGTTTAAGTGGTCTTCCTTCATGATACCAAAATTTTTATGCTCCACCTCTCGATACGAATGTCCTTCAGCTAAAATTACCATTTTCATTGCAGTTTATTGACAACCCATGACACAAACTATTAAATATTAACGAAAAGAAATCGGTCTAAACTGGTATTGATACCGACTTCTGGATGGGTTGACGACTCTCATTTCGTATTGATTCGTCGTAGAGTTAAGATGGAAGCCGGAATTAATTTTTATTCATTTTATTCATTCTACAGTTTTTGTTAACTCTATAAAATCACACACGAAATTGTTTTTGTGTGGTAAGCCGTTTATTATGTTTTTATGTTCACCTTATATGCGTAATTAAGGAATCTAAGCAATTAAGCTAAATTTACTCGATTATTTAATTGTGCAATTAGCACCTAATTACACCTAAATGGAGTCAGATTTGCCAGGCATGTTCAGTGAGAAAAGGAAAGTATTTCAAATAGAAAACCAAATTTCATGAAAATGGAGAATCAAAAGGAGAAAAACAAAACGAAAAATTAAATGAAGATAGCCCATGGGATGTAAATTTTTTATTGTACCAACTCCCACAATGATCTTCGGCTGCGTATTTCTCTAATTCTGCAATAAGCACTAGCTCCATTTTCCTTATACCTTGAAACTGCAAAATTGTCTTTTAAAAAGTAGTCTACAATCAAAACTCGATTGACTGAAAGAGTTCTATGTATACTATTTATTCTGTGATCTAGCGAAATTCTTTCAAATATGAATTTTTTCAAATATTTCGATACTTATATGTAAAAAGAGTTTCAAAGAAAAACATTTTCAGTTGTCACATGATAATTGTGCAAGCTAAATTGAGTTATTGTGAAAATCAAAGTCAGTAATTCAATGTAACACTTTATTGCCTTAAATGCAGTGCAAATCTGAACATAGTATTACCCAAGGCACATTAAACAGGTAGTATCAGTAGAGCAAAAACAACATTTGCGTGTATTTTGTTGTTGCTTCTGGTATCGAAAGTGTCAACAACTGTTCTGAATTTTTTCTTCTAAATCAAAGCGTGCCATGTGAAATACAAAAAATTATAAAAAAAAAAAATTGAAATTGGAAAAAATAAAAATTGATGCAACTTTCTTTCCTAGTAAATTTGTTTGCTTCTCGAAGCATTGATCCATCCTTTGCAAGGCCCAGTAATCAGCGGTCGTGCTGCCGAGTTGGGCGAACGTTCCAAAAGCTGCTATTCAATCGCTTGTTTTGTATGGAAAAAGGTTTCACAAGCAAATGGATTTTAACAACTTATAATTTTCGTGAGAAAAAATTAAAAATATTTGACATTTTCGAGACCAAATAATTTGAAAATAAATCAAATCAGCTGCTCTACTGATACTACCTGTTCAATGTACCTTGGTATTACCCATGGTACAAAAAATAAAAAACATAGTTTCATTCGAAATTTTAGAAGTTTCATAAATTGTGAGCATTATCAACAGCCTTGTCACGTTGATAATAGCTCTGATCCGATACTTTTCGTGAAAAATCCTGTAAGACTGTCAAACAGCAAATTACTCTCTGAAGTGAGAGTAAAAATTGAGTAACAACAAAAAGTACGGGAACAAAAAAACCATTTTTCCTATAAAAACGCCAACCGGTGAATGCTTGACACTTTTCATGATGTTACCAGAAGAAAAAGTTCGGGTAAAATCTTGCAACTTCACTCTCTACACAACTCTCCAAAAGTCGCTCTCATTTACAGGACTTTGGAGTACGGGAACATTTTTCCGGCAACTTCCTGCAAGTTCGTGTTAAATCCTGTAAGTTCATGGAGTACTGGATCAGAGCTAATATTACAACAATACGGCAGAGTAGTTTTTTACCATTTTAATACCAATGTAATAATATTTCAAATCAAAAATAAGTAAAGTTTTCCCACCCAAAGTTAACTTTTTGATTTTTTATATGTCATTGGCCGTTTTCGAAAGTTAATATGGTGTTCAACCAAGATTGATAGGTAGGTTTTTTTATCAATCTTGCCAAAGAACAATCAGCTGTTCAGTACAAAATGTAAACAAACAAGCAAATGCAGCAACAATTTCAAGGAGGAAGCAACAGTGTTGCCACTTATTTCGCATATTTAAATAAAGTTGATCTGAAACCCAACGAAAGTTAAATGGCATTTAAGCAACAATCTAAAATTAAACTTATGTGCCGTTTAAATATTCATATGAAATTTTCATGCTAATTTCAACCGTGCCAAGATTATTTGGCGCAAATAAAAACTAAAGCACATAAAAGAGGTTAAAGCTAAACTTTTATATTTTTTTTTAATATCTCTGAAACTATTTGACCAATCACAAACCTATTGATGCTAATTTAAAGATAATTTAGGTACCTTTTACGCGACGTATACAGTATAACCTTTTTGAAAATAAATTTTAAATAAACACCATTTAAAAAAATATATTCATATATTTTTTGGTTATTATTTTTTGGATTATTAAAAATATAAAAAAAGGAAAAAAATTATGCACACCAAATGAAATGCCCCTAAGTACCTTTGTTTTGACGTCATTAGTTTTGATGTAGAATACGTCTTACGCTTCGATATGGAGGCTATGCTGAAATGTTGTAGTTGTAATTTTTAGAGCTTCACGAAAACGCTTATTGCACGAGAACTAATAAAGCGATTTCAAAGAAGAGTGTGGCGTTTCAAAGATAAAATTCCAAACCTATCGACAGATTCATTTTTGTAAGTAGCCAATTCGGTTTCTGTCGTAAAAAGAACGGTAAACATTGGCTTATTTTGGGGTCAATTTAGAGTCTTTTAAGTGCTCCAGCAGCTTCCGATTTGCAGATGTAACTTTCATTTTCGGGATATAGATTCTTTGGAGCAATAGAAATATTATCTTATACAGATTTTAGATAAATTCACCAAATATTGAGCATTTTGCAAAAAAATTTTGAAAAAATTTGCAAATTTTTTCTATTACCAAATGCTCAAAAACGAATGAACGATCAATGCTCGAATGATTTTGTTTTTGTTTTCTTTAATCAAAAATTCAAGAGTTTTCCTTTCGTTTGGTATATGGAAAGTAAGGGTTGATATCTTCTAAGTATGTCTATTTGATTCAAATATATGGGCATAAATGATTTCCCATACAAAATCACTTCGTCATCGTTTTGCAAACACGTGCTTGCGTTGGAAGTGAGGGAAGGAGACAAAAAGTATGTATGTGTGCGTAAGTACATATTTCGGCTTTTGATAAACAGATGGCGCAATATTTATAACGTAATCGCAGTGTATGTACATATGTAAATACATACATACGTACATATGTTGATTGCAGTTAATGTGGATCTGTTTTTTAGTAATCTATATATGTCTAATCTAATGTATGCCTATACATATTATATGTGTACATTAGGGCGGGTCAATTTGTATGGATTGATTTTTTGCGACATTGTTCCTAGCATATTCGGATTCTTCATAAAATTCTAAGAAAAAATTTCTCCAGATCATAGCTCTAAAGTCAATTTCGAGCCTGCACATTTTTAAAAGAAAATATCTTATATTCAAAAATGAATTGCTCTCCGTTAGCCTCGCTAAGACTCGAAAACGGCTTGACCGATTTGAATATTTTTATTTTTTTGGTTTGTTTTTTATAATATCCGGATGGTTAAAACGAGACAAAAATAGAGAGTTGCCACCTGTTTAAAAATTCAGTATAAGTAAATTAATGACATAAATTAGATATTGCAATATGGGTGTCAAAAGAAAGAGGCTGTGAAGGCTTACAGGCGAAAATATTTTTGAGGGGGGTTGCCACCTGTTTCAAAATTTAATTAAATTAAATTGGTAAGATAAATTAAATATTGCAATATGGGTATCAAATTAAAAAGGTTTAAGAAGGTATACTACTGAAAATATTTTTGAGTCGAAATGCCACCAATTTGGAAAATTTAATTCAATAAATTAATAAGATAAAGTATGTATAATAATATAGGTGTCAAACGAAAAGTATTTGAAAAATTATTGATTAAGAAATATTTTCTATAGGCCTGTCACCTACCTGAGCGGTAAAAACTAAAAGCAATTATTATTCAAAGCTTTTGAGGCTCGCATCAATGTAGAATACTGTAACTCCGTCATGTTAGTGTTTATTGATGGCAAACAAAGTACTATCACGTCAAACACAAAGTACTAAACTCTATCGTCGACTATGCGTAGATCGGGTAACCCTTCTTGATTGTTTTTAATTGTTTCACGAAGCTCCGAGTACTCTGCGCCGTCGAATTTTGGTGATGCCAAGTCAATTTCCAGAGGTGTGGTAGAAGACAATTCGTCCACGTCAAAACGCGAAAGGGTGTCCGGCACAACATTCAATGATCCTTTGCGATGCTCCATCCTAAAGTTGTATCTTT